AACGTGTATTTTAGTTGACAAATAAACGAATTTAATGTAATTTTAAATTTGTATAATTCACACGAACAGATTGCTCGTCACACGAGTAGGAAGTTACTGTTGAGAGTGTGGCACATTACAGTCTTGTCCTAGTAATATCCAACGGGTCGGTTTTCAAAAAGACGAATGAAATACTGCTTTAATGTTTATTTATTTGTCTTTACATTCATTGTACGTTGTATCTTAGAGCCATTGGTATTTCCGCTTGATCTTTGCCTTTTCTAATGCATCAGACTATATAGACTGGTCGAAATTTGGCACATCGTTAAAGCCTGATTGAACAGCACATAATAATGCTGACCACGGCAATTCAGACGGAGGATAACGGAGTGAGTAAGTGATAGACAAAATTTTGGCGGGAATTCTGCTCACCAAATCAGATAAGGAACCATTCTCGTAAGTGGTGAGCAAAATGTTACTTTGGAACAATGAGTAGAACAAGTCGACCAGTATTTAATGGTTATATTTAAGGGTTAGTCAATCCCTTAAAATGTGGCATTGTAATACATAGAACGCTATATTGAAAAAAATAGAAAGTTTAACCAAAAAGTACTGGATACATGTCTATATACATACATCTCTAAATTAAAACACATATAACTGGTAACTATTCATACACGACGAGAAACCATGCAAATACGCATTATGATAAATAGGTGAAACGCATATCCGGTACAAACCCAACTACCACGTGGTCAGTTAAGACAAATAATATATATCAAACGATGGGGGAACGCTTACAAGCCGGCAAACATTTTTAGAATAAAAAAAATGGATAAGCGAAAATGAACAAATGAATACATGCACCGACTTGAACAAAGTGCCTTGATTGTTAAAGCATGGCGATGACAAGTACAAAGGGTATTGTAACTGAGTAAAATCATAGCCTGTTTACCATATGACCCACTCGGCTTTCACTCGACCCCACACGTTCGCATTTTTAATGAGCTACAGCGTCGGACATCTTGGCACGTTCACAGGCTGGGCATATGCCGACGAATTAACAGTTCTGATCCTGCCAACCGTGTATTTCAGTTTTTTGACGGTTTTACTTTACCAAGAAGAACTTTGAATACATGCGGCGTTGCCTTTATCTGTCTGGCATAGATAGCGCGGTATAATTTGCAAAGTGGACCGTTCCGATCTGCAGCAGAAAGCAAAAAATTCCGTTAACCGGTGAGTGTCTGATTTTCCACCAGTACAATGGAAGAGTGAATAACTATGTTTTACATGTAAACGAGAAATTAGCTTTAACTTATTATATCACCTTATATTCATTACCAAAAACTATTTCAGAGAGCAGTTATTGTTTGTCTGCGAAACAATTTTTTCCCCGTCCACTGATTTTTGTGCCCACTGATCTGTGCCATTCCTTTGTCGAGACATAGCTGTGTAATGCATGTATTACGTGCACGCTCGAGTCCTAGATGACCCGGCAACCGGCGTATTTCTCTAACCACGATTTTCCACGTGTGTTCATCGTTTCATGTTTTAAGCAAGATATGACAGTTTTGCCACAATTTCTCTATC